AAGTTTTAATTGAATATAACAAAAAATTTAAAAATTGTAGTTTTATTCACAATTCTTGTAAATATTAATTTTACTGATTGTGAAAATATTTTTGATAACTTTTTGAAACAAATGAAATTTCTGACCTACTGAAATTTAAAATTTTATTAGCAATTTAACTGTCATCAAAGAGGGAAACTTTAAAAGCAAAGAAAAAAAATGTTTGATGAAAGAAAGAAAATTTTATTTTCTTATAAAAGATTTTCTGAAAAGACTGGAAATGCTTTCTCGTTTGTTGCCCTTAAGATTTTCTTTTTCATTTTTGTTGGTGTCACAAGATTTGCTTCGGTTTCGAAATAGGTTTGATAGAAGTGAAAATCTTTTTTTATCAGTTGGTTCATCTTCTGATTGCATATTTTCATGACTCTTAAGACAATGAATTTGGCATATTGTCTGACATTCAGAATCAGTTGGTGATAGACCTGAATCTATAGCCTCGTCTTCATTAAGATTCGTTTCTGTACAAGCTTTTGATTTCTGGCATTTATAAACGCAATTGTCATTACATTCTTCACAAGATTTAAAGTTTTGTAAGATTTCATTTTCAGGTTCATTTGTAGCAAAGCATTTGCAAGGTCGTTCTGATTGTTCAGAAGGTAAACCATCTTGTTTATCGTCCTTTTGATTCGAATCTTTTACTTTTTCCTTCAAATTATAATTTAGTAAATCAAGATTATTTTGAATATCTTCCATGAAAAATAACTTTTTATCTTTCGGATGACATGAACATTCACAACTAGACATGCTGTTGTCATCATCTGAATCATTAACTAAGTGAGATGGTCTTTGGGTTAGAGCTTTTGTGAATTCAATCATTTGAACGAGTGATTTAGTTGCTTGAGGTGAATTTTCTTCGGTTATTTCCTAACAGAATTTTAAAAAAGTCAATCAAAATGTAACTTAATTAATTTAAACTTGCTTGATTATTAACACCAGAAGTAACATCCACAAAAGAACTCGCCTTAATTGATGATTTGGACATTTTCATTATCAATTTTTCAGACAAATTAAGAAACGAATGAATTTGGTATGAAAAAAGTTTTAATTAAATTTTTATAAATATTGATGCAATTAAGCATTCTGAGAATAAATTTTAAAATGTTGAAAAAAGTTTTAAAAGTTCATTTAAAGTTCTTCTTGATTCATTTTTGTAGCATTAATAAGCACATGATACGCAAAATCACAATCAGCTGATTTTACTATAAAACAAGCACCGGTACGATGAGTCAATGAATGTCTGCCGACTTGTTGATACAGAATGTCACTTGTTGCTATCAAAAGCACATGGCATTGGGTGGCTCCACGTGCTAATTTTCCGTCCACCCAGCCAACTCCTTCGCCATTCCAACCACCCCAAAAGCGGAGAAATATGAAAAAATGACGGGGAAATCATCAAAAAATCCCCTCTGAAAGTCCTTTTTGAGTGAATTTTCAATCACTTCTCAGTCTCAGTGACTTCACTCATTCTCCTTAAAAAGCACGTGCTTTGACATGTCCTGTTTAAGGATTTTTCATGCGCCTTTGCAAAATCGTCTGAAAACGATGCCACTCTGTTGGGGATATATTGAAGAGAGAACTCGAATGAAAATGAGAATGAAAATTATCTCAGAGAGAAAAATTTCGATTTCTGATCACGTGACATCAAAAAGAGCTTTTCCGGGAGAGCGACGCAAAGTGGTCAAAATAGAAGGAAATAATGAAAATTTATTGTCAGCACATGGAAAAGCACATGGTAAAATAGACAGAGCGCAAATGCCAATCAATTTTTCTCCAGTTTTCTCTCATTTTCAGGGTAGAGGCTAGAAAAATTTTCACAAAATTTTCAGTCGCCATCACGATTTCATCAAACCAAAAGCTTGTGTCGCATTTTTCACTTAATATTTTTTAATCTCTCTGTCTTCTTAGGCAATTAATCCTTTATAATTTATGCTTAAAAGTTTATAGTTTGCAAAAATCGTTTTCATAATCATCCTATGTAGCATACTTTGAAGAAAAATGTGAAAGATTATTAAGTAAGTTTCAATAGAAAAAGAAAATGGGTGTTACATGAAAATTTTCCAAATTTTAATTCACCAAAAAGCACGCAAAACAAGGCAAATTTAGCTTAATTTTTAACACAATCAACATGTTAACAGCTTTCTTAAAAAGAAATTTATAATTTCGTCAGGAAATATTTCAAAATAACTTCTAAATTAAAAGAAGAAAATTTGGGAAAATTGAAAGTTTCATAGATGCAGCTGGAGAAAATAGACGACATGTTTGATTTTATCTTCTTCTTTGATCAATTTTCTTTTTATTTCGTTTGGAAAAGAAGTTAAATAGAAAGGTGTGACTTTCTCAGACATAAAATCAAAGAAAAATACGATTTTGATTGCGTGACTTACTGTTGTCATGATAAAAGTGAAGAATGAAAGAAAATTTATCAAAATCATTGTTTAACATGTTATGTAATGAAAATGGCAAAAGTAAAGAAAACTAAAATTCTGTAAATATTTGGTGAAGTCACATTATTGGAATGGTTATGGATAAGCAATTCGTTGGATAACTAAATGTGATTCAGGCCAACACGGAACGCAATTAAAATTTACTTGACAGTGAAAAGTGTCCAATTTGTGAATGTTTGTTGACAACCAGGGGATTAATAAATAAAAACAAGTCAACATTATACAAGGAATTATTCTCGGTTTTGTTCATTATAATTTTCTCCTTTCAAGAATTTCACTGCAGGAGATTTTCGCTCTTCATTTATTGATCTGCAGCAATAAATCATAAACAGTTCAAGTTTTTCTTCAGGAAATGAAAATTTTAGTTGTGAGTGAGGAAAATTCATTACAATTTGTGCTTCTTGAAAATGTTTCAAGCCGAGTATTGTAATTTGTCGACAATCCACATGAATTTTTCTCGCATTTATTTTAGGAAACACAAAATTGGAATTTTTTCAAAAATTCAACAGAAAAAATGAGATTCGCATCAAATTAATTGCATGAATTTTTTTATTGTTTCTTTTTGTCTTTCAAAATTTCAAGATGATCTGACAAGCAGTAGACAATTTATGGATTAAAAATTGAGTTTCGGTGTCAACATTCAAAGCTAGAAATTTTTTAATAAAGGTCAGATAACATTAAATTTATGTTTGATTAGAATAATTTTAAATTTAATACATTTTAGATAAACACAATATAATGGCATCGAACGACACTCACAATCCATTGGACGAAGGATTGCAAGATTTGGGACTTCCAGTTCCTGTTCAAACATTTCTATGGCGTCAAATTGCACCTTTCATTCGTCCAAGGTAATTGACATAAAAATTAAACATTAATTAAGTTGTTTAAAGCCAAAATTTGTTTTATTTTCTTCTAGACTTGGAAAGCTACATGAAGCAAGTTGCATGGTATGTAAAATAATTGTGTATAAATTAAAAAGAAAATTAATCACCGACAATTGTATTAAAATTGAAATTTTAAATTGATCAATTTGTATACTGATAAATGATTTAGCACATAAATTTGATGATAAATTACCACGCCTTACAAACATGAAATTTTATTTGTAACATAAATAAATGTAAAAAGAGTTTCCCTTGATTTAAATCTCATGAGATATTCATAAAGTTTGAATGCAACTTGTAGATTTTTAGTCGATTGATACATGCTTTTAAAAGACCTTCAATGGAAAATCATCTGCTTCCTACATTTTAAATTATTAACAACAGCTCATGCGATCTCCAGGGCCACAATACGTGTTACCATTAACTTAATGTTGTGCGTGTGTTTTGTGCTTTGTAAAATATTAAGAAACTTTACTGCCAACACTGAATATACCTAAAATGACTTTCATATCAAACATTCTCATACAATAAACAATCGGTTGAACGTGCCAGAAATTCTTAAATTAAAAGCTTTCGCCAAAAACCAAAAAAATAAATTTCCATTATCACGATTTTGGTTCTTAATTTCATTAACATTCAACATTCTCATTTTGGTAACTTATCTTTAATTTAATGACATCAAATCATGTACATTTGTCAGCTCCATAATCAGCTTTGATATCAATTGTAAATAATTTCTCTGTACATTTCTGTATCATAAATTAACAACATGCCTAAAAATAGTTTTGTCAACAACATATGCAAGGACATCATGTAAGTGTTGTTTTTGTATAATAATCTCAGTAAATTGGTATCAACCTTTAGTCGTAGTCGATGATAATAATTTTAGAATTCTTCATTTTTGTCAATTTTGAATTCAAGAACAAATACAAATGTTTTGCTTTATTATTTTTTGTTTCTATTGTTGTTTGGATATGAATTAGAATTAAATTTGTAATTTATCTGAGTTTACTTTATTTTATAAAAATAATAAATTGAAAAACTAAATTCTGTGAATAATTTCTAACAGGAATTAAAAGAAGCATGCAAATCATTTGAGAAAGTTCTTGTTCAAAACATCCACTTTGGACTTTCGCCATCGCTTACTTCAGCGCTTCAATCAATTCCACGTTGGCGTCTCGTACAAGCAGCATTACCACACGTTATGCATTGTGCTGCAGCATTACTCACGAATCGTGTTAAAGATTTACAAAATTTAGGAGCGGCTGAAACAAAACTTCTTTACACACTTCATTGGATTTTGTTGTTTGCAGCTGAAGAATGTGCTGACGGTGAAGATGTTAAGAAAGAAATGATGAATCCTTACGATTATTTGTTCTCCATTCCAACAATATCGGTGAGATTTACCAAGCCACGTATCTCGACATTTTTTAATGAAAATATTTTCAGTTATTTGTCTACCTTTTTGCACCCATTGCACACCATTTAAAAGAATCGGATTTCCAAAATTTCCGATTAGAAAATGGAATAAAATTATGGCAAGGAATGTGGGAATATCGCTCACCGAATGTTCAATGTTTCTTAGCACCAGTCAAGCCACGAGCACGTCAAATGGTTAATTCTGGCAGCACACCTCAATCAGGAGAAATCTTTTCCAGTAAAAGTGTTATGGAACAACATCACGAATCTCCTACAAACACGTCAATATTTTCTGAAACCCCTAAACATGATGATGAAATTTCACTTTGTATCGCGTCGCCTAAGGAGCCAGTTTTTCCTGAAACTATTCCAGAAGAAGCTTCAAGTATTGAAGAGGAACACGTTCTTCTCTTCCGACTACCACAAGGCCCAGATCCAATTTTCTATACAGCTGATACGAGTTTATTGCATCATTCACATCACCAGACACCGTCAAGTCGACGAAGTAGTAAAAGTTCTATGCATTCAAAGGATAGATTCCATGATCGTGTCACAACAAAATTCGACTTTGATAAAATTGAAGCTTTTGAAAGAAAGCACGATGACAGTCAAAAACCTAAAGGAAGTTCATCAACTGAAAGAGAATCTGTTGAAACTGATCCTAAATCACCGCAATACCAGAAAGGCGATCAGAAAGGTTTTTCTCGACAAAGGTCAGTTTGTGAGTTTTATCAATCGTTTTAATCACTAATTTGCTTTTTTTATTAGCCATTACGATATTGCTGCAGCAACTTTCCTTGATGTTGCTGTTCTTCGTTGTCTTTTCGTTTCACATTGGCAAGAAGAAGGAGTTTATTGGAGTTTACATTATTTATACAACCGGTGAGTTCAATTTCATTTCGAAATATTTTACATAAGAATGTTGTTCATTGAAAAAAGAATCTGTTTGAAAGTTCTTGATAAGCTTTTGTCTTCTAGTTAGAATCACCAATAAATGCCTCAGTGGCGCAGTTGGTTAGCGCGTAAGTCTCATAATCTTAAGGTCGTGAGTTCGAGTCTCACCTGGGGCATTTTTTGTCCCTCTTTATTTTCAAATTATATTGAATTAGTTTTCGAATACTTTTTTCTCGTTTCGCCCTATAAAAATTATAAAATAATTAAACATGTTTCACATTCCACTTCATTTCACAACAATGTTTTGAAGCTGTTGTAAGGTTTTAAAGCAAATTTTTATTGTTCACTTTTATGTTTCTATTTTGTGTGGCTTTAATAGTGCTGTTTGCAACGGAAATGTTACATCTTCATTGGCAAGATGCTTGTGATTCATGTTTACCTTTGCACCAGGACACAAACGAGTTTCTTATAACTCACATTTTCCTGTGGGAAAGTCCCCGGACATATGGTAGAAAGTACCAAGATGTAAATTCTTATCGCACTTCTTGAATATCCCCACTCAATACAAGATGAGGTAAAACTCAGAATTATAGTGGCGTTGATACGAGATTGCGAATTGGTCACGTCACTTAAAGTTACGCGAGGAATCTTTGGGAAGTAATTTCTGATATTCAACACAATGGGGCTCACAAAGCAAGAATCACTTTCTTTTTTAAACAAACTTTATTCAAATCTTTACATGAGTCACCATTCTTAAGATTTTATAATCATCATCGTCCGAGAAAGTGCAAACCACTTTATATTTTCCAGCTGGTAGAAATGTCAAGTCGTCTGAAGTCAAGTTGAGATTTCTCACTTGAAGTTGTTTACCAATGTAAGGACATTCTCGTATACTTTCTGGCAATCTCTCCTTCATTAGTTTCACTCCATAATATAACAAATTTTGTTTGTCGATATTCTCAATGAACGTGCAATAATCAAATTTTGGAAAATAACCAACTTGAAAGTATTGCGAATACATTTTAGTATAAAGTTTGAAGTGAACCTTGAAAAGAAAGTAATAAATATTTAGATCGATTCAAAAGTGAAATTCTTACTTACATTAATTTTATTTAACGGTCTTGAGAGTTCTTTACATCCATAATTAGCTGAAACACCATCAGCTGTGTTATTTGTGAAAAAGCAGAAAGGTTCAATACACGTGCGCGCTTCTGAAGTGCTACATTGAATTTTCGTCTGCAATAATAAAAGAAGTTAAATAATTTATTCAATTTCAAGATAAATATTTATGTAGGTACTTACAATAAATGGCACTGCAGTGTTTATAAACATATAAAAAATAATAAAAATGCAGAAACTTTGATGCTTCATCGTCAACGGTTGATAACTAACGAAATATTGAAATGGAAATCTTTCTCAAACGGATTTTAAAACTCTCGCACAGCTGATCTTGATCAGTTTTGTTTGTTTTCATTTGTATGGTGCATAAATGGGACAAGCAGGTCTTCTCTTTTCTTGAAACTTTCTACAGGTGTTGAAGATCGAAGATGTTTAATAAAATGTTGATGACCGCAAATGACGATAATGAATTATGAAAAGCAAGCTTCACATAAGTTTAAATGTGTAAGTAAAACTTTTTATTTGCCGTCAACATTTCAATTAAAAAAACATTTATAAATATGAAAACGATCTTTGAGTTTTGTACTTAATCGAATAAATAAAATTTAAAACATATTTCAATTTCTTTTGAGTATTCCCATCGCTGAAACTCTTAAAATTTTCTCATCTTCATCATCGAAAAATGTGTAAACGACTTTGTATTCGCCAGTAATCCAAAGTGCAATATCGGATGCTCCAAGTATCAAATTTTTCACTTGAAGATCTTTTCCCTGGTTTGAAAATCTCATAAATTAAGCTCTTAATAAGTAGAAAAGTTTAAACTTACCTCATAAGGACATCGATGAATAAAATCAGGAGCTTTTGACTTCATAGTTTTGAGAATGTAATAGAAAAATGAATTCCTATCAGCTCGCTTGTAAAAGCTGCAATATTCGATATCCGGGAAGAAATCAAATGCAAGATAATCCGAGAAAAGTTTAAAATAGAATTTTTGGCGAATCTAAAATGAACTTAAATGTTAAATTCTATCGATTGAATTAGAATTAAAAAGCTCACAAATATTTTGTTCAAAGGTCTTGTAACATTTCCACATCCAATATTAATTGCATTTGTCGTTTCATTGATTGGTGTTAGATAGCAGAAGGGATCGACACATGTTCCTTTTCCTGACACACTACAAGCCACTCTAGTCTTTAAATTGATTACAAAATGCATGATTAATTACAATGAAAATTGTTTTCTTTAATTCACTCACTATTATTGCAGAAGCTGGTAAAGCAAAAGAAAGAAATAAAAAAATCACAGTCAACTTATTCATCTTAAAACGACAGATTCAAAATGCGAGAAATTTTAAAATCGCGACTCTTTTTTATATCAAACATTCAACCTATTTTTGGACGACACCATAAATTAAATCTTACTCCTTCAAACCTAATTTTATTCCAATGGTTTTAAATTGCAAATAAATTTCTTCAAAGAAAGCAAATTTATCTTGAAAACTTCATGTAAAATCATAAATGTATGTGACAATTAAGTGAGAACCGTTTCACACTACTCGTACATATATTGAGAGCTTGCTCAATTTAAAAGACAAGCCCACACTTTCTAAATTTTAAACATAAAAAAGTAAGAAAGAGTTTTAAATTTTCTTGACCTACGGCAATTCGAGATTTAACTTTGTGAAATGGAAGTCAATGGAAGTGTCGAAAAATGTTTGAAAACAAGATGAATACGAAGAACGAAGAATAATAAAATTTATTATACTATCTAGATAATTAATAAAATATTTAAATCGTGCAAATAAAATTAAAAAAATGCCCCAGGTGAGACTCGAACTCACGACCTTAAGATTATGAGACTTACGCGCTAACCAACTGCGCCACTGAGGCATTTGTTGAATGTGTTAGTTTGCTTGCAAAAGATTTATTTAATACAATTAGCTATCGATATATACATTCACACTTAATGCCTATGTGAAAACATTTTTATTGTTTCATTTCATTCAATTAATTCAGCTTAAGAGACATCAGTGAAGAAAGTATAATGCCACCATCACAACCTCGACGACGATCAAATTCTCTTCCAATCCCACAAATTGAAATCTCTTTGTATCAAGGATCTGGAAATAGTCGTGATAGTCCCAGTAATAGTTCGTTGACTGCCAAAGATTGCATAGAAATTCCTGAACAAGCAACACCAGTTGTCAATGATCCTCCTGTTCACATACAAAAGCCATTGGAAAAGGAAGAGACTAATTCAACTAATGGAGGAAGACGACCAAGTGATAGAAAGAAACGAGTGAAAATGGCTGATTTAAGAACTTTAATTGAAACGAAAATCTTGTCAAAATCAGATCGTGGCTTAGAGAAGATTGGAAATGAATCGAATGGAGGGAATGGAAAACGACTTCAACACGCTGTAATAAAAAGAATTATTTCTGTGTTCATACGATTGTTTTCAATTAGCTTTAGTTATCTTTTATCGTCCAGGATATTCATCGAAGTCTCGACACGGGCGAGGATCATTTATCAAGATCAACATCCAATCTCAATCGTGATGAATCATCAAACCTTGTAAAAGGAAAATCAATGCCATCATTGAGGTGAGTAAAATTTTAATTCACATTTCTTAACATTCCTTCCAGTTTAAATGAAACTTTGACTTCCTTATCGTTCTGACTTGCTTTTGTTTTCCTCGTAAACTTTATCACTTTTCCTACTCAGCTGTCTACTTGATAGTGGGTGAGTTCTCAACACTGCACCAACCTTCACTCTCATTTCGTGTCATTTCAAATCAGCTTCAAAATTTAAGAAAATCTTTTTCTGTTTTATTGACTTTCGGAATTTTGTTTTATTCTTTTTCAAATTTTAATGCGAATCATACTCATTGACAGAATATTGTTATCGATTATTAACTGTTTAGATGATAATTTTAATATTTAATAAATAATTTAGATATTATCGACTTGTGGATCCACCAAAGCTTAATAGAAGCAACCAATCAACTGGGCCTAAAGATCATCGATCGTCAATTATTCCACGTAATCCTATCATCACAGTGACTGAACACACGCCTACACCATCACCAGATTTCATGCGACGGCAGGTTGTAAATGTCAGTAATCTGAAATTATCGAATTTTCATTAATTAAATGTCTCAAACAGGGTTCAATCGACTCACAACTTGATGCGATAAGCGTTAATGGAAGCACAAATGGAGTTTTCAAATCACAATTGCTTCGATCACAAACTGACTCGCACATTGTTTACGCAGGTTTGGATGAACAAGAAGTTCCAGGATCATCATTTTACATAACTAAAGATGGAGGAATTGACTACGAAATTGTTTTGCTGGCAATTTATAACATTTTGAAGAGAGAAACAAACATCACGTCTTTGAGAATTCTCGAAACTGGTTTGAATATTTGTGAATTGTTGATTGATTTTGGAGTGTTGAGATTTGGTGAACACGCACATAATTTAACGATTGGCATTCTCAAACGTGCAATGTTACATCTTGGATGTCCTCATGGATGTAATGACGGAGTTCGAACAGCTCAAGCAGAGTTTCTTCGTCTTCAATGTAATTCAAATCTTTCACGATTATTGAAGCAAACTTCAAGTTTGACAAAGAAATATCTTCGGGACATGGTGCGTGATTCATCACTTCATGAGCTCATTGAGTTCTTCCATGCATTTGTGGGATTTTGTGTTGATCCAAGTTCTTTACTGTCACCTCTGAGTAAGTAACTTTAACTTTCTTAATCAATCCACGGTTCAATCATTTCAAAAACGTCATAAAAATCTGATGAAGTTCATCATCACTGCTGCTAAAAAGTATAAAAATCAATTTTTTCGCCTAACGCAAGTAAAATTAATTTTAATGAAATTAAAATTATTCACATAGCAATTGCAAAGCTTTTAGCTACAAATTAAATGTTTATTCACTTAATATGATTCAAGCTTCTTTTATCATCTCAATCTTTGATTGATTGTGTAAATTGTAAGCGTTTTAGGTAATTGAAAGAAATCTTATTTGAGCTTGTGTCACGATGTCTAATGAATAACTTTCTAAATCCACCAAAAACTTTAATTTACTTTGCAAGTTGCTGCTTTCCAACTTTAATCAATCTTTAATGTCTTTTGATTGAAAAGTCAATTGATCTGAGAAAATATTGAATTGTGTGCTTCAAGCTGTCGTTCATTATTGCTTAAGTAGAGAATTTGTGCATGTTTGGCATCATTCATTCTTTCATTAAACCTCATTCAGATCATAAAAGACCAACTGGTATAAAATCGTTGATTCCCGATATTGGCGCTACTAATAAAACAGCTGGTGGACAAGGATACGCAACCAATTTCGGATCGGGATTAACCGGAAACGCTGAAAGTCAAGTTATTGCTGCTATCTTCAAGTCAATTGTTTCTCGTTTTGTGGACATTCAAAAAGAGTTGAAAAGTCCAGAAAATATGAGTTTGTATTGCGATGTCCGTCAATTGATAACTTACATTAAAGGTGCACATGGTGGGCCATTTAGACGAGTTGTTTTAAGCGGAATTTTAGCAGTCACTCCAAGACCACATAAAAAAGCACCACAATTGCAAACAACGAGAGTTATAAGGTGAGTTAAACAATTATTTATTGCAATGTTGTTGTCAATTAATTCATTTTATTCAGACACATTCCATTCACTGGAGAAATTCAAACAATTGCAACAAATCTTCCACCAGATGAAAAAGTAGCACGAAAATTGTATTTCAAAAAGCGAAGCACTTCATCAACTTGCGCTGTAAGAAATTTATGAAATTTATTAATTAATTTGTAATTCATGTTTACAAAACTGTCAACAGAGTCTCTTGGAAACAGAAGGAACTGAAGAACAATTTAGACACAGTCAAAGTCCATTGACAAACATGCGACGAAAGATTATACAAAGACCGACTTTAACACCACGTCAGAGTGAACGAGCACTTCTCTCTGATTCAACATCAAGTTCTGAAAGGAATTCTGTGGGAAGATTAAGTGGACTTGCTCGATGGTTTCGAAGCTCAAAAGATCGTTCAGTTGATCTTGAAGCTGGTTCTGAAATGGCTGCTTACATGCGAAAGAGTTCATTAAGTTCTCAGCGTGGGCGAGGATCTGAAGGGATTGGAAGATCATTCCAACGTGCAAGAAGACGTGTTGAACGACGACTTAATCGCTTTGGGTTGGGAAAAGGCAAAAAGAAAGTTCGTGGAATTGAAGAAGTTTCTGGAAGTTATTTCAGTCATCGAAGTTCCATTGATTTGGGTGACGGTCCACGTGAATCTGAAGTTGTTGTGCTTAAAGAACGTCGATTGATTCCAACTGAACCAGTGCGAGAAGGCATGTTGAGGTTCTCTTTCCTTCTGGAGACTTGTGCTCCAGGTTCAGTTCCAGATTCACAGCTTATCGGCGCCATTCTTGATCTACCGCAAGCTCCACTAATCACACGAGCCACATTTCTTCTTGAATGTGCACATTTCGTTCATTTATGTAACCGCGGTGCATGGCCAAATTGGATGAAACAAAACTTAACATCTTTCAGACCGTCAGGTCCAATGAATACGCGAGCGAGCATGTCAACAAATGTCAGAAGAATTCACATGCTTCAACGATCAGCTGGTAAAATGTTTTATCAATGGGCTGAATCCATCGGCGTGCGACTTGAAGAGATGATTAAAAATGAAAAAGCTTCATATGATCACATTGCATCATCAATGAATGATGCTGATAAACAAAAGAATCTCGTACTTCAAGATGAAGAAGAAGACTTCCTTGATGAATGTAAGGATTTCATATTTGAAGTTGTAGACATTAAAAAATTTATCTTTTTTTACTCCCTAAACAGTGAGTGTAAATGTTCATGGCAATGATTGTCCACCAGCATTGAAACTTGTCGCTATTGTAGTCTTACTTGAAATCACAGCATTTTTAAGAGAAACTTATCAGACAATTCCGAAATCTTCTCGAATATCTACAAAAGAAAAGCACGTGATTAATCCATGGGAACATCATCAAGCATACAAAGAAGCAAATCGTCGATGGTCGATGGCTTTAAGTTCAATGGGACACTCTCAAACATCAGCACAAAGTTTGCAATCGATTGCCGGTGAAGGCGGTGAAAGGAAAATTTCTTTTGTTCTTCATGAACCTGACAATGAATCTGAAGGAAGTAGCAACACAACATTGACGTTGCAAGGAGAAGAAACAGCAGCTGTTACTACAGCCAGCATTCAACAACGTCGACCAGTTGCTACTGTCAGACCTTTTCTACTTCGTCGTGGCACTGCAACAAATCCAACTGGTGGATCATTCAAACGAAGATCTTTAAAACTTCGACGAAACACTAAAGAAGCAAAAGAAATTGAACAAGATTGTGAGTGAAAAGCTTTCAATTATTAATTTAAGAAATGAGAATTTCATCAATTACAGATTCGGTCAAACGAGTAGATTCGATCCAATCGCGTAGAAAAGTTTCTTCTTTATCTGATCGCAGTGATAATTCAGAACAAGGAGCTGCAAGTGGTGGTGAAGAAGAGTCGCCAGGAGTTTTAAGTGATGATCAACCACCTGATTCACCAAATGATTCAAATGATTCTGATGAAACGTCAAAGAACTTTCCATGGATGCGTGCAGTTACATCAATCATAAATTCATTCAACTTTTATTGCACTCATCAGAATGTATGTCATCCATATTGTTATAAACGTCATACACGCGCAGCTTCTCGTTTAATGAAATCTGTTCGAAAGGTGAGTTTAATTTTTACATTTAAATTCCGTCACTGAGAGACGAGCAAACATTTTCGAAAACCATACAAATGTTTCAGATATTTAATCCAAATTAAATTGTGATTTAAATTCTTTAATTTTGTTAGGATAATTTACATTAAAATTAATTTTTTAATTTTAAAACGTAATTAAGATTCTTATTAGAAGTGATTATGATTTTCACCTTGAGTTTAAATTGGTCATTTGTCAACCGCTAGCATCGTAAACGCTGCGCCTCGTTAGCTCAGTGGTAGAGCACTGGTCTCGTAAACCAGGGGTCGTGAGTTCAATCCTCACACGAGGCACTTTTATTTTTACTTTTTTTTTTAATCGTGGGGTTCATTCATTAATGTTGTCCCTTTTTATTTTTTTATTTTCAGATTTATGGAGAAGAATTTGGATTAGTTCCGTCAAGCTTCCTTCAACCAGAAGGAGGAAAATCTGGTGGTCGAAGAGAGAAAAGTCGCGCTGGTCGAAAAATATCTGATCAAAGTTCTTCACACACGTCACCTTCACGACGAAAAGACAGCACTGGCCGTCGTGATAGAATAATTCATGATGATTCAGAACAAACTTCATCACAATACTCACAAAAAATGGAAGAAAAGAAAGAAATCAAAGAAAATTCTTTAATATTAAAATACATAAAAAATCATGTTCGTGATTTATTTCACGTTCCTTTTTCAACACTAGTGAAAGGTGCTGCAATTTTAACAGAAGATCAATTTATTGACATTCTTCCAGCATCATGGGAACTTTTGTTGGATACAAATCAAGAAACAGCAGCGTCAGCAGCTTCTTTCTTCATATTGTCATCAGTTAAAGCACCAACACAAGCATCTGAAATAATGCAACGTGCTTTAAAGCACAAAGATCCGAATGTAAGGATTGGAGCAATTCTTCGTTTTCAAGTTTTATGGAAAAGTCGTTTTCAAGTTTGGCCGAGAATGGAAGAAGGCGCTCATGTTACGTTTAGAATTCCATCGCCTGGAATTGAGTTTACACTGCCATCTCCAAAGATTGGAATCGAATGTTTGCCTGTTGTTGATCCACCATGGACACCACGACAACAAAACAAAGACATGGATGTGACTCTGAATCAAGAGAGACATCGACATTTTGTCACTGCAACAAAAACGCGAAAGAAGCAACAAACTGACGCTATTCGACATGCTTTGCAACAGCAAGATGAGAAACAACGACAAGAACGTCATTGCTTTCTTATTACAACAAATCCAATCACACAACAAGCTGCACATGAGAGTCACGCTGCTGGTGAAGATCATGAATTAGAGGAAGAGGAAGGCGCACGAGCTGTTCATTTACATGCAGCTCACTCACTTTTCCCATCAGTGCTTTGCGCTGCAGCGATGCAAATTATTGGCTCTTTAGATGATTGTGCAGTTGGTGGTGATGGTTCTGCTGTTTATGAAGTCGCATATCAAGTTATTTGGGTATGCTTAGTAGAAGATTCAGCATTGTTTCTACGTTATGTATTGGAAAGATTGACTCGTGAAAAGCAAGATCAAATGTTTAAAGTTCTTCGACATTTGATTCGTTTCGTTCCACGTTTACCACAGCAAGCAGCTTTTGCTCTTTATAATCACATTATTGGATACATTATGTTTTATGTTCGAACAACTCATGAATGCAGTCAACAACTTGTTGGATCAGCTTTGTCTATTTTATGGATGGTTGTACATTCAGTTCATGGAATAATGTTTAAAGATTTAAAACAAATATTGAGAAAAGAACAATGCGATGCATCAGTGCTTTTGACTGCTAATGTTCCCTCAGCAAAGAAAATAATTGTACATGGTCCTGATGAAAAGGATGAAGGATCTATTCCAAGTCAATTTCCCATTTTGGTGAGTTTTATTTAAAAATTATAAAAAATATTTTTTAAATGTGTTTCATTTTCAAGTTTGTTCTGAAGAAATTCAATGAAATTATTTTGAAAACCTTACAAATGTTTCTTCTCTTCTTTTGTTTGGAAATTTAATAATTAAATATTTTTAATTATATTAACAGGAGGACACCCAATTTCTTATGTTACAAAGGGAAAGTTTGGATTTCTTTGGAATTGATGAAAAGAACTACAAAAACTATTTTCTTGTTGATTACAAAACTCATCAAATATTGAACTCAAATTGGTTCGTTCGTGATTTGTATTTCTTCAAAAGATCTCAATATCCGCAACTTCGTCTTGTTGAGATGAAAACTGACGAGGCATTCATTGCGCTTCAAAGACAAGAACTAATTAAGAAGTTTGTTGAAATTGGAAAGGTTCATTTGACATGGGCGATTTTAAAGAATGTTGATATGGTTGTGCAACGAGTTGTCTTCTTGCATGAAGAGTTAATGAAGTTGCCATCATTCCCTCGAAAAGCTCTTGAAACTGACCTCGACTTGTATATGGGAGGTGAACTTGGAAAGGAATTAATGGGATTAGATGTACTTCACAAATTTATGTGGGTTCGATTAATTGCAAGAATGTTTGAAGCCATGGCTGGAAATTTTGCATATTCAGCTGACATTCAACTTTTCTTAAATGTTTTATCCGGTGCCGCTATTCTGCATTCAGAAGATTGTTGCATCATGCGTTACGTTATGGCAACTTTCATCAATGGAGCTTTCAATTTTAGAAATATTTTCTCAACAAATGGATATTTCATGATCATGCCGACGCTTCTTCAAATTTATTCATTGCATCAAACAAATAAATTAATTACAACAACGATTGAATATGCTGTAAAGCAATTCTATTTGATGAATCGAAAGCCTTTTATTTTGCAAATGTTTGGATCAGTGTCTGCAATTCTTGATACAGACGAAGATGGAGCTTATGGTGAAGCCACGAAAGTTCAATCAAGTTGTCTCTTCAATCTTCTATTGAGTCTTGAAACTCCATCTGAAGATGGAGCTTATGGTGAAGCCACGAAAGTTCAATCAAGTTGTCTCTTCAATCTTCTATTGAGTCTTGAAACTCCATCGCCAGATCCATTAAATATTGCAGAGCTTGTAAAGGAACCGAAACCATTAAAAGCGATCGACTTTTGTTATCACGATGAAGATGAAATGGTGACAGTGCTCGATTGCATAACTTTATGTGTTATGACAGTTTCGTATTCAGCTGAAAGTACTCGCGGTTATCAAATGCTGATCATTCTTGAAGCTATTTTGCCATGCTACATGCAACAAATCCAATCACCAAGTTACATCCCACTTGAAGGGAAAAGTGAGCGTGACATCATTTTACAACTTGCCATAACTATCAGGACGATGGTTCATAATTGTGAAGGTTTATCAAAGAGTTATAACGGTCCATATCGTAATAGTCCCGAACATAAAGGATCCAGTCAACGTAATCAATGTTCACGAGGTCCACCGCCATCACCAGGATTTGATTTTGAAGATGAATCGCATTCGAAATATGTCAGCGATGTTGGTCGAGCGAAAAACTTACCAGAAATTCCTGAAGATTCCGAACTCGTTCGAACTGAATACAGACGTGCTCGAGATGTTCTACTGTCACTTGTTGGTGAATTTCTTAATCGTGCAACGACAAGACTTCAAGAATTAGCGAGAAAACCAGGAGCGGATTCAAAATATGTTGAACTTCTCGACGTCAAATGTCATATTCGGCTTGCTGACATTGCACATTCATTACTCAAAGTGTCGCCATATGATCCTGACTCAATGGCATGTCGTGGATTGCAACGCTACATGACTTTCATTTTACCACGTGCTGAGTGGGGCGAAGAGAAAATGAAAACTGCTTTAGTGACGATTTTAAGACGATTGGATAAAGTTTTCTTGAAAATCTCGAAGAAGTCTTCGATTCGTCGAAATACTGACTGGGAAGCTGCAGCAGGTCTTTTGAAAGGAATACATGAAACTGTCGTTCGTTGCCCTTACGTTCTTCATTGGCAACAAATGCGTTCATTGATGTCAACTGTTCAAAATTTGATTGTCAATGAAGCAATTAATGAAAATGTTTCCAGTGCAAGTGCAGCTTTGATGAATCAAAGTCCACCAGCTTTCTTCTGTTCGACAGTTGTTCGATTAATTGCATTACAAGTTGTAAGTCCGGTTGACTGTTTCAGCTTAGAACAAGTTTGTGGTGGAACTGCAGAATTTCCAACGCAAGAAAAAGCTGAAGGTTTCTTGATGCATCTTCTCATGCCTTTGTGCTTGAAAATATGTTCGGGACGTGGCGTCTCAGATGTTGGTGAACTCAAAGACAACGACATTTCTTTCCTTGTCACAGTCATTTTGAATGCGATGAGTCCACCTTCGGGAAGAACTGCACAATCAGGAATTCAAGCTAACAGAGTTGTTGGTGATATTCGAGCTGGTTCCTTGACATTCACTGGTTCAAGGGATTCCAAACGACCAGCAAAAATTTCTGGAACTTTATATCAAGCAGCGTTCCTGGCATTGAAAGTTCTTTGCGTTTGTTTTGAGACGAGATTAGCAAATGAATGGCCGAAAATTGCAAGAATTATGAGAGATTTGGGAAGACGAAATGAAGCAGCACCAGAACTTTGGAGTTTCCTTGAATTCGCTGTCACACATCGAACACCACTTTACATTGTTTTAATGCCTTTCATTTTACACAAAATTGCACAACCGCCAATTGGTGATCATGAACGTCACATGCAATTTCTTATTCGTGAAAGATTGCGTGGCTTAGCACCTCCAGGTGGGATTAAGTCACGTGGATGTTTATTACTTGAGCTTGCTAGAGAACTTAAAGATCTTCGTGATGAAATGGAAGAACGTAAAGCTGATAGAGACAACACAGGAAGTAATGAACAACAAAAGAAAGACACGTCAACAGTTGTGATTCAACAGTCAGAAGCACCAAAACAGCAGCAACGACCATCATTAATTTCTATTTTCACAGGTTCAGGTGCACAGCATCCATCTCAGCCACAACATGATTCTAGAAGCGGCACAGGTGTTCATACACCAAGTGACACTTTTTCACAACAAACTTTGCATCCACCTCGTGAATCGAACTCGAGCTCATCGACAACAACAAATAAAGAGCCGGGAGTTGTTAGCGATGGTCACAGTTGTGATGGCACCACTCCAACACCACCAACAAATCCCACAATTATATCAAGAGCTTCAAGTATTCGACGAACAACTCGATATGATCATCAAAATATGTCAGGAAGTGTTCCGCATTTACCGCATTCAATGTCGATTCAACATGGCATGAAAATTCAACCACCAAAACTTCGATTTGTATCATCAGTTGAATTTAGAGATTCCGCTGGTGAAACTTCGACCACACCTTTGTCACCTGACAGTCCAGCTGAAGATAGTTCCGGTGAGAATCAAAAGCATCGTTTGCAAAGATCAAAAGGACAATCAAGAAAGACATTCAGATACAAACGAGGTCGATTAAATGCTGGCGAAGGTTCAGCACTTGGAACACCACAATCAGCCCCACCAATCCAGCCTCAAATGCAACAACAAATAACACAACCTCCAGCTTCAACTGTTCAACAACATTCTCATTTTAATATTCCACCAATTGACACTGACAATGGAAGACCAAACACTGACATTTCTTGGGATTCTGTTTCCCAAACATCATCAACTTCCGGTTACAGAGACAATTACAGCTTTCAAACTGGTTTACTTTCTCCAGATGGTTCACTTAATGATGGTGCGACGAGTGGTACTGCGACAATTGCACGATCGTCTTCACAAAACTCATTGCTGATGCTTTTTGAAGCACAAGATGAAGACACTTTAATATAGGAAAATATCCAATTAGAAGAATCCTAGGATTTTAGATAATTATTTTGCAACTCCTTCAAATGAAAAACTTATCAGTATTTAAAAGAAAAAGAAAATGACATGCCAAAATATTTTTTATTGAAAGAAATTTTAAAACATTCACAAATTAATTTCTTGTCACAATTTTAAGATGTGAATGGATTAAGGAAATCTTTAGCACTTGAAAAAACCTGATGAGGTCATTTAATGAGTATAAACTTATGAGAAAATTAAACAATAAATGTTACGTTAGAAAATGATTCAAGTGGATATCTATCTAGTTATTTTTGAGGATGTTGATGTTTATTGTTAATACTTAGAGAAAAACAAATTAGAATGGCATTTTATAGGCACGGAATGAATTTTAAAAAAAGAATTGCCAAAGCAATTGAGGTATGAACGGCCAGAGAAAGGTTAAAGTATTTTAGAAATTTTATTAGCGACACAAACATAAGTGTAGCTTTTTGATGTTGTTGTTTCTAACATTTTAATGGATAGATAAAATATTTATAACCAAAACAATTCATAATATTGAGACAATTATGAAGCAAACATTTTCTTACTTCATAGAAATTTCGTAAGAATTCATTTCATTAACAAAAAAGAGTTTTTCTTGCTGCCCCGAGGCCAAAGTCGTTGAGACGATTTGAAACAATGATAAGCAAAATAAAAATTGCCTGAAAGTCATACCAATGATAATTAACATTTTTATGGTTGAGAAACATTTCTAAGAATTTATTGTTGTGTGTTAAAAGTTTGAAAATAACATTTAGATGACAATGAAAAAATATGTTAACAAGGAAGTAAAATTTTACTTCAGAATGGGAAACGATGGAAAATTTCTTTATTCAGAAAGTTTGAAGTGTGTTTAAAAAATTTGTTTACCCTGAAACAGAAGATCCTTTAGAAGAGAAAAGTTTAATATTTTTGAAGAATTTTGACCAAAGTCTTTCATTAATTATTTAAAATAGCCAAAAGAACTTTTGTTTATCATATCTACCTAAAAGTATTTCAAAGTAGGTGCCAAACTCATGCCAAAACAAAGAATAATTCTGGGAAATTTCTTATTTTATGTTTCTAATATGATGTAGGAATATAAATCTAATCAAACAATCTCTGTCGAATAAATAGTCTGACGTAAAAGTTTTGATGTATAGAAGCTTGTGCTTTGAACAGTTTTATTAGAATAAATATGGAAAAGTAAAATTATGTAATAAAGCTAACATGTTTTATTTATTATATTAGATATTTTAAATTTAAAACTTATAGACGATGTATAATCGAAATTATTCTTCAATGCGGCATTATTTACACAATTGTTAAATTTTAACGTAAAATTTTATTTGAATGATTCAACCGTTTCCCGGTTATTTTCTACCGATTCAAAAACTGTAAACAAAATCACAAATTTGCATTTTAAAAGCATTTTTTTATTAAAACTACTACAATAAATATAAACCAAAAGATTTAATTATAAGTATATTTTAAAGTTGTTGCCTAAGAAGGTATGGCGGCCACTCGCGACCGGCGAAATAATGCAGGGAGTCGCATCGCTCGATTGTTAAACGAAGAAGAGGAGGAAGATGATTTCTATAAAACCCAATACGGTGGTTTTAATGAAGAAAAAGCTGACGATGACTACCTGTTAGTATGAAATGTTCAAAGTGGTCACTTTTATGTTTATTTGTTGTTTTAGAGCTAACGAAGATGACCGTGATATCGTCGATTCCGATTTTTCTATTGATGAAAATGACGAACTAGTAACAGACGATGAAGATCAAGCTAACAGACCGAAACGCCGTAAGAAGGTCGTGACAAGAAGTTACAAGGAACCAACGAAATCAAGCAAAAAACCAATATCACCTAAGAAAAAATTCGTCAAGTCGGAGAAAAGAACTGATCGACTCTCTCCAGATGCTAAAAAGTCATTGCGAAAATCCACCACAGCAAAGTCAGCAGCAACTCAACATCGATTAAAAGCTCGTCATGAAGCTGAAAGAATGAAGCCTAAAATGGTGAGAAATGATGATCCATTACCAACACAAGAAGAACTTTTGGAAGAAGCTTCGCAAACAGAAAAAGAAAATCTTTTATCGCTTGAAAAGTTTCGAAGAATGGAATTGGAAAAGAAAAAAGTTCGTCCAACAAAAGGAACAACTTATGTTGGTCCTATTATTCGTTATCACTCAGTATCAATGCCAGTTATTCAAGATGAAACTAAAGTGAAAGAAGTAATACAAGATGATCACGAAGAGACGAAACGAACAACACGACGATCTCGAATGGCTGCAAATGATGCAGCTAAAGCAGCTGAAAAAGGTCGCTGTGAAAGAACATTCATCTCATTCGTCAATGATATTAACAACAAAGTGTTCGATGGCGTCTTCCCACCTAAATCGAAGCGTCCACGTCAAAGTCGCATTTGCCCTGTGACAAAAATGCCAGCAAAATATTTCGATCCAATAACTCAACTTCCCTATTACAACATTATGGCATTTAAGATTTTACGTGAAAGTTATTATCAAATGTTGGAATCGAATTCTGATCAAAATGATCCTCGCACAGCTGAATGGCTATCATGGAGGAAGAAATGGAAGGAAACAAGAGCGAAACCGATTAAAATTGAACCATAAAAACTTTCCTTTGTCTTATATTTTTCATGATAAATAAAACTTTCTAATTTCACAGTAAAGGTTTTCGTGGTTGATTTAAAAATTCCTTTTCAGCTTTGCTTTCATTAGGAATAACGTAGAATGTTAAATAGCCATTGTAAATCCAGAAATCTTTCTCACTTACAATGCTTTGAATTGTGTTTTGTTTGTTGACTTTGATTAATTTCGCTGCTAAACGATTTTCGTAGTAAACGTTGAGTTCATCTGGATTTGAGTATTTCTGTGGCGAATCATCGTCAGTTGCTGCAAACATATCTTCTAAACATTCTTGAATTGTAATTTTTTCACTGATTTGCTGTTGAAGATCTGTCAATTGATATTCAGGATAAGCAAAAATTGCTGGGTAGTGAACAATTCCTTGTTTGTCTAGTGTAATAGGAAAATATTCCAATGGTTCTACTTTCGGTTTGATAATCTCCGCTGTTAAATCTGAAAGAATATTTCCTTTACGAATTTCTTCAAATTTCACTCTTCTATTAACGAGAACTTGCACTAAAGCTTGAAAATCTTGTCGCTTCTTTTTCTCTAACATTTGATTCTTTCTTTCATCTCTCATTCTTTCAGTTTTCTTCTCTATTGCACTCTTCTGAAGATCAATCAGTTCTTTATTTGTTGGATCATCCGCTAGAAATTCTTGAACCTCGTCGCATGCTTCTTTAAATTTCTTTAACTCTAACAAACATCTGACGATTCTCACTTTTGCTTTCGAATAATCTAATTTCTTTTGAATAGCTAATCGAGCATCGGTTATTGATGATCTAAAATTCTTTAAAAAATATTGTGCTGCCGATCGATTATTGAGAAGATTTGCTAACAATTCCTGATTTTCGCCATTCTGTTGAATTCCTTCTGTGTAGTTCATGACAGCGATTCGATATTTTTTATGTTTCATCCAATAATTGCCGTCTTCCTTATACTTCTCAGCAAGTTCATCTGGTGTGTTATCTTCAGGATCAAATTTTAACTGTTGAAGACCTTCAAGCATTGGATGAACATCATCGCCAGGCTCAGGTGCTTTCTTCATGAAAAATGGATGCTTTTCCATCTCCTAAAGAATGAAATTAATGATATTCACTCAGATTCAAAATGTTGATTACTCACCTCTTCCCATTTGTCTTCCGCCCATCCTTCTGTGTATCTTTTCTTTTCCAAAGAAGAGATAAATGAATCAAGATCAGCATCAAGCTTCGATGCAAGTGCCAATCTTTCTTCTTCAGTATAATTTTTCTTAATTTCTGAGTTATTTTCCATTACACGAGTTTGTTTTGATTGATTAATCCCCGAATAACCTATGAGCGATAAACAATAAACAAGAGTGAATTTATTGTGACGAAGAAGTAGGAAAAGAATGGAAATTGGTTAATCACCAATGATGTCCCCCCCAAAATATCCGATGTTTTGGGAAATGAACCTCCCTGTAGTTCATTCTATCGCCAAGTAACCGCTCACATTCAAATGAAATTCTTTTTGTGAAACAATCTTGAAATTGAAACAGTTTTGTTGTTTTACTCTTTTCTTCAAAGTTGTATAAGAAGATGAATGAAATTTTACGATTTCTCCCTACTTCTTTTTATTTTCAGAGATTACAACAATTTACAAGAAGAAGTACAACTTAGCTTTTTATGATTTCGCTCTAATTTCCTTTCTCAAGCATGAACCATATCAAGATGTAGCAAAAACATGAACCGATTCATAGCCGAAAATAGAAAAAAGAAAACACAAAAATTTTTTTTGGCAGAATTTAGGAAATAAATTGTTAAAAAGATATTAGTTTTATCAGCATGATAGGAACTGTTATCACAAAGTGAGCCTTATATTGATAAAACTGGAACAGAATGAATACAGTATGTGAATGAATGTCTATATATGGATAAAATTTAAGTTTTGTTTATTATTTTCCAATATAGCGAGCATCTTCCAGTAAATCTTCCGGAGGACCTCCCCGACGGTCCAGAAGTCCACTTGAAGACTTAATTAAATGCTTTTGTGGTGCCTGTGAAAGCTTTTTTAAGCGTAAACATATAATTCAAGCACTTAAAGCAAATGAATATGAAGTTCTAAGCGACAACGAGCTTCGGAAGATATTAAAAAAGTTTATTGAATTCAGACAAGGTGGATCGTACATAAAACCACCTATTATGGAGATAGTTGAATGCTACGAGTTATCTGAAAGTATTTTGGCAATGGAAGAAGATCTGGAAGAACGTCGAGCAGATATTGACGATTTATGTTTTACGGAAGATTGGGAAGATCGATTAGCAGCAGCAATCGATGACGGCACCACCGATGACTTCTTCAATGAACTCATGATTGAATGCTCAAGACGCTTAGGTGAAGAACCAGAATATACCATGTTCAAAGAAGAACTTAGAAAAAAACTTAAGTGAATCATCAAATATAATTTGCACAATTCTTTTCTCAACACAGTTTTATCCATTAGTCATAAGCTTAATTATAGTTGTGGAAAAAAAGCTTTTCTCAAGTGTTTTGAAAACCAAAAGCAATCCAAAAATGGTCATTTCAGGAAGATTTCCACATTAATGACTTGTAGATTTCCTTAATTTGTGAAATATCATCAATTTGCAAGTACTTTAATTATTCTAAGCTTAACTTCAGATCTGAATTAAAGAAATTTTCAAGCATTTAGATATTTAAATAAAGACATCACGTCCATTACCATCTCAGCTTATAAAGTAAATAATTCATTAGTTATCTCAAATCGATTATTTTATTTATGGAAATTTTTTGGATTAAATACAAAAGAGTCTAAGATAAGAAAGAGAATTTAAGAATGTTTTTCATTGATGCTTTCGCGGGTGAACGTCTCAACATTCAGCAGAATGTGATTGGCATTCCGGAAGCTGATGATACTGATTAATGATCTCTTATTGGGGGTTAAACTTGTTACTTGAAATGCTTTGCAGTTTGCTGAAAGGAAGTTTTGGAAAGGTTGGGACTTAGACGCGGTCAGTTGCGCGGAGTTTCTCTTCGACAGACTCCTTTGAAGCTTCCGACAAGTCTGATGCTTGAATGTATTTCTGGACACCGACCAGTGACTTTTTGAGAGCATCGAACGAGCTTGCGTAAAGCATCTTCATCTTAATTTTGGCTGTGTCTGGGCACCACAAGAGAAGGAAGAGTTTTTGCTTTTTTGATGATTCCGTAGTACCTTGATGCTGATGCATGTACTCGAAGTCAAACAAGCCATAGCGACATTCACCGGTGCCGCCCTTTTGCAAATCCTCCAAGAATTGGTCGTATTCGGCATCGCGCTCGCCAATCACTTCTGCATCAATTTGCTTTTCATCGCGAATGTTAAAGATCACATAACGATGCTTCTTGTCTTTTTTAATTTCTTCGAAAACAATTTTGCAATTATCAGCAACTGCACGGTTTTTTTTGTTGTACAAAGATGGGGCGATGTGAAAGAGAAAAAAAAGTATGAAATGCGATTAGGAAATTCATTCGAGAACTCTGTGAAATCGATATAAAAAATATTTTATTCTATTGTCAAAACTTACCTTCTACTCCGCTAGCCATGTTTAAGAATAGGATTTGATTATTTCACTGACTTTAAATGAAAATTTGTTGGAGAAGCGTAACGCGATTTCTCGAATGATAATGAGTCACCGGTATACGAATCGCAGTTGAAATGCTTATCGGTTGGCCGTTTCACAATCGGTTGATTTTGAATTTTCAGTTAAAATAGATTAAGTTAAATAGATTAAAAATAACTAAAGTTAAGTAAATTAAAATAAAATGAAGAGGAACGATTACGTGTATTTGTGTTTTATTTATATGTCTAATTTATAAAATTTATTTCTCTTTTTTCTCCTTTAAAAAATTATTCTATTTAACTAGATTGATTGTTCATATATGTTGAGCTATGTTGGTAACTTGATAATTTGTAACACTTTGTTTCTTGAAATATTTCTTATGAATTCTTCTTCTTGCAGTCTGTATCAGACAAACAATGACATGAAGAAAAATGGCTAAAATGACTGTTCCTATAGAGGTCAAAGCAGCACTTCCTGGATTACTCCAATCTAGAACATCGTAAATGTAACGATTTCCTTGCGCATCAACACCACCCGCAAAATAATAGATGATTGTGAAGATCATGTAAAGTATGCCTACACCAACTGGATATACGAAATGTATGATATACATTGGATGACAAGCAATTAGTAAATCGATTATCATTGCAGCAGAATTTCCACCATGAATCAAGATGTCCAATGCATCTGTCCTACCTACAAAATATTGAATTTTTACAAAATAAGAAACTTCAAAAATTATTTATTCTTCATCTTACCATCAAATAGCAAAGTCCAATAAACTATCGTTATAACAAGTGCTGACGTTACTGCTACGTTTGACCAGAACCAGAGAAATTTGTATGATGTTGATTGAGACTCAAGTCTGTGAGGGTTTCTGTAGTAAAAAGTTGCCAAAAGTGCAGCAAATGTTGTTGCTACTATGCAGAAAATTAAGCCTAAATTGGTCATGTAAATAAACCAGAAGGCAAAAGTTCCATTTCGTATCGCTCTAGTCCAACTGTATGCT